CTGTTTTACGTAATCGTTTCTCCTAAGGCTTCCGGTGTGGACCTAAGTAAATATCTATTCACATTTCTGAGTCTTTCCTTAAGCGAAGTCCCGGAGAGACGCACCGAGTCACTTTTTAAAGTTTCTCTCCGGGGAGAGTTTATCATTTTATACTCTCATCAGTAATATGCCAAGAGGACCGTCATAAATGGCTGTGACCATTTAACAAATGTTTGTTGATGTTGTAAGTGAAAAAGCTCTTGTTTGTCTTTCTTAGGGCGCTAGAGCGTTTGGCCCTCAGCGGGTTTAATAACCCTTCTCTATGATTTCTGGAACAGAGGTGACATGCACTCTATTAAAACAGAAAGTTAATTCCCAGCTCAGATTCCTTGAACTTCCTGGACTCCGTTCTTGGAACCAGAGCTCCATATTCTCTGCATTGGATCAGAAGCCGCATCTCTGTCTAGGAAGACCTATGCCGTTTCCAGACGGCCCCCTCGCTCTCTCCAGTGGCCACTATGGGATCTGCAGCCTCGCCTCCTTTCCTCTCAGAACCTGGGGGCAGCAAAACAAGCCAGCCCCACTCCCAGGCTGGACTTTGGTTTTCCTTGTGGTCGGACAGTGTTGGGCATTGTTTTCCCTCGTGGTGGACTATTTGTGTCCTTCCTGTCGCCGTGGCTGCCTGGGGAGGGACTGGAGGCTCTCACCCAGGTGCCTGATTGGAACAAAAATATGGGAGAGGCTACTCTATTTAGTTCTCATTTTCCTGTGTACAACTAAGTTTGCTGGAATTTTTTTTTTTTATAGAGGGGAAAGTGAGATAATTATAAATGAACTTTCTATGGCTGTAAAGGGGGGTTCTGTCAGTGAACCTTGAAATCATTTAGTTATAAGTGCCCCTTCTTGTCATCCTAGTTTCGTAGTCAGGAAATGCTTGTGAAGGTTCTAGAACCTTCCAGAAGTGAATGTAACTAACTTTGAGGAAGGACAGAAGAGAAGGTTTGGAGAGCTACAGGCTTGCATTGTAGACTTCTAACATGCCCCATTGTTCTTTCCACACTCCCTCATCCTATTTTAATTTGTTTCAGGTTATGAAAATAATATATAGTCATTGCAGGAAATGACTTTATATATATATGTATATATATAATATATAGTCATTTAAGGAAAAAATAAAAAACACCCATTTTCTATACTCAGAGATAATGACTATTAACATTTTGTATGCATTTGGTGTGTATGAACATACACATAATTTTATGAACATACAGGTGTGTGAAAATGTGTTTCCATATCTGTACTCATACACAAATATGCTTTTATACCACCTTCTGAAGTATTTTAAATATCTCTCTGTGTCATCAAGTCTTTTTTTGAAAACCCTCTTTTTTTTAATGGCTGCATAATAGTATAAATGCTATCATTTATTTAATAGGAATTACATATTTTCTTAATGCTCATTTTTAAAGTTATCTTATTTTTTAATGTTTTAAATGTTTTTTGAAGGTTTTATTTAGGGAGAGAGTGTGAGCACACAAGCAGAGGGAGGGACAGAGGGAGAGGGAGAGGGAGAATCTCAAGCAGACTCCCCATTGAGTGTGGAGTCCCACGTGGGACTCGATCTCATGACCCTGAGATCATGACCTGAATTCATGAGCCAAATTCAAGAGTCTGATGCTTAACCAATTGAGCCATCCAGGCACCCCTCAGCTGTTTTAAATAATGTTGAGGTGAAGATCCTTTACACAATCCAACTCTGATTACTTCCTTAGGATAAATCCGAACTTTCTAAATCCTATTGATATCTGATGCCACATTCTCTCTCATAAGCTTATCCAATTTCTGCTCTCCTCACTGAGTGAGGAGTGTCTTCAGTGTGATTACTAATATGAGCAGGGGGAGAGAGGGGCCGAGGGAGAAGAACAGATTCCCCACTGAGCAGGGAGCAGGACATGGGGCTCGATGGGGGGGCTCAATCCCAGGACCCTGGGGATCATGACCTGAGCCAAAGGCAGACACTTAACTGACGGAGCCACCCAGGTGCCCCTCTTCGCTTATTTTTCTATATGGACTGTTAATTGAATTACTTGCATATGAGGACAAATTAAGTTGTTTTTTTTCCTACAGTGTGATGTTTTCTCTGGTTTGTCATTTGCCTTTGGCTTATAGTATTTCACCTAAAGAAGGTGTGGGTGTGTGTGTTTGTGTATAGTTTCAAAAACTACAGGAAAGCACAGTAGGAAATAACCTTTGTTTGCATGCCACCCAGAATGCACGGACATTTATATGTTCTCCTTTGGACTTATTTCTGATAAAGGAAGTAGAATATTACAGATAAATTGGAATTGTCCTGGTTCCCCTTCCCACATGCCATTTCCCCTTTCCCCAGGACAGGGACTGTCATGAATTCAGTGTATGGATCCTTCCAGCCCCAGTTTTTCTTCTGTTATCGCATAGACAAGTATCATAAAAAATATACAGCACTAGTTTGTGTGTGCATATGTATTTGTTCATGATTTAATGTGTGTGTGTGTATATATATATATTTAATGTGTGTATCTATATATTAATGTGTATATATAGATACACACACTATCCTATAACATATATCATTGAGCAATTTTCCCTATTTGCACAGCAGTGTGTTCAGTTCAGTTCCTAACGATATATACAAATCTAGTTCATGCATTTTGACTGCTGTGTGGTATCTCATTCATTGACTATAACTCCAAATTCTCCCTCAATGTATTTCTCAATTTTTCTACTTGGATGAACATTGAAGATGCTGCTGGGTATCCAGGTTATCTTTGCAATGCTGTAGTGAAGCCCTACGTGCTTCTCCTTCTGCACATTGGGAGATCTTCTCAAAGGGCACCCCTAGGGGTACGTGCTGGGTCATGTGGGTTTTCCGCTCTCTGGGCTCTTGCCGAATTCTTCCCAGGGTGCTCCTGCTGACCGACACTCCCACTCCCATCATGCTGATCGGGAAAGGTTTCCTCTTGTCCCATACCTTCACCATGACATGGTACTGCCAGGCTTAGTGATTTTAGTCCCTCCGGCACTGAGACAGCATTTCCTTGTGGTTTTAATTTGCGTATCCTGATTGCTGGTAGGATTGAACATCTTGTAAAATGGTTACTGCCTAGAGTTTAACAGATTTTCTCTTTGCATTTTCACTTCTTATCCTTAGCTCGGTTTTTCCGTCGGGTTATCTTGGTCGGATGGGTGCTTTGTGTTCTTTATGTTTTCGATGACTACTGCCTTGGTACATGCATTGTAGCATCTTCTGGCCCCTGGCCTGCCTGCCTTTTTATTTCTCCAACTTGCCCTTTATTGCCTGCAGTCAGACCACTGGCAAGCCGTCCTCTTATGAGGCCAAGTCGAAGTTACGTTCTGTCCTCAAGGAGTGCCGCGTATATTCAGAATATTAGAAAGTTCTGTAGGAACCGATCAGAGGGATAGGGAGACACCAAGATAGCAGTGGCTCTCCCAGCAACAAGCAGGACACCGAGAAGGGCAGGGCCTTCCTGGGGAGGGGGCTGCAGGGGCAGGAGTGTGGAGGGTCAGCCCCAGAGTCTTTGTCCTTCCAGGCTTCTGTCTTCCCTTTCTCCTTGTTCTCACCACATGACCTCCACTTGCCATCCTCTGACCCGCTCCTTCTCCCTCCCCGCTCAGAACCCTTTGGCTTTTCAACAGTTTTATTTTTTGAACTTTGTATATGTTGTTTTATGTTGAGCAGAGTTTGGATTTTTGATGTCCCGGGGATCAGCCTTTACCTTCATAAAGTGTGCCTTTTGTATCTTACTGGAGAAATCCTGTGCCACGCCCCAGTCAAAGACAGTTGCTCACATTTTCTTATGGTAACTTTTGTTTTTCACACTCAAGGTCTTTAATCTCTCTGGAGCTTTTTGTTTTTGTAGTTACACTTCTTTTTTTGTGGCTTTTCCTCTGCACTGACTGATACTTTCCAGGCCCTCTCTAAGCCCCAGCAGGTTTGTGTCACCACGCTTTTCTCTGTCGCCTTGTGCTCTTGGCCGGCTCTGGGGGGTCCCAGGCGAGGGTGCTCGGTGCTTTAATCAAGGTTGTTTCTTTGCCTGGAGCCCCATTAGCGTTTGTGACATTTGGTGAGCGTGGTTTCATGTCGCGGATCCTGGCTCCAAGGGGCGTGATTCCGCTAGAGTTTAGAATGCATTCAGTTTTGGAAACTTGCACGCTCTGTTGCACACATGGTGTACCTGGTGCTGGAAGTGTTCTCAGATCTGGGAATGCCTCAGAGTCACGGACCCAGGGTCTCCTACAAAGATGCTCCTGCTTAACCTTAAACATGTGACCTTCTGTATTTTTTCATTAGGGATCAAGGGCATTGGTAAAGTGTGCTGGTCTTGCCAGTGTCCTAGCTTTATGGAAACTAAAGTTACACCTAAGCAGCCGGGGTGCTTTGAATTTTTCCCACCCTTCCTCACTCCGTTTAGATCAGGGGAAAACAAGAAAAATCATTATCTGTCCAACAATATGTATTTTCTGTATAGTTGAGATGGAAAGAGACATGAAAATAAAGAAAATAAAGTTGACCAATTTCTAGGACTTTCCTGATAGGCTGTCACCAGTGTCCCCTGGAGCACATGTCAAAGGTAACATCCCAAACACCTGTGGGAAACAGCTCACACCAAACTGTTGTCCTGTACCCCCCCCCCCACCTCCCAGTGTGCTCTGCCATCCCCTCACCAGATGTCTCTGTGGGCTCTTTCTCAGTGGAGAGGAAGCGGGAGAAGGGGGCGTAGGATGATTCCCAAGGCAGCGCTGGTGTCCCTGGCCACACACACCCGCCAGGGGCCCGGCCATCCTGCCTCCACCTGCTCATCGCCAGGAGCGGCCAGCAGCTTTCTGTAACCACACACCCTAGTGACAGTTGGCATCTTGTGCATGTTTGTTTCTGTTTAAACACACTTTGCCTTTCTTTTCTCCTTTTTTCACCGCACACATCATCTTCTTTTCATTCTGCCTTTGTGTTTCTTCCTTAGGCCGGAAGCTGAGAGGAAAAGCCTTTTATTTTGTCAACGGCAAAGTGTTTTGTGAGGAAGACTTCCTGGTGAGTTTGTTACCCTAACCTCCCCTGCTCGAAGGCCTGACCAGAATCAGGGGCAGGGGCCAGGCAGAAGAGGGTGGTTTCTCTCTGTGATCCCTGGTGCCGGCAGGGAGTTGAGCGCAGCCAGAGAAGGGGGTCCTGACTTTCCCTCTGTAGATGCCCTGGGTGGCCCTTGTTCCCGAAGCAAATGACAAGCCACAGAACTACGTGCTTGGAAGGGACTTGAGGGTCACTTGACCTGTCCTCTTGTGTTCTGCCCATTTTGCCTCCCCCACTGTTCTCTTAAACCTCCGGACTGGGGTTCAGTTTTGGGTGGAGCCCGAGAATTTGCATTTCTTTCTTTTTCTCTTTTTTTTAAGATTTTATTTATTTGTTTATTTGGCAGACAGAGATCACAAGTAGGCAGAGAGGCAGGCAAAGAGAGAGAGAGGGGGAAGCAGGCTCCCCGCCGAGCTGAGAGCCAGATGTGGGGCTCGATCCCAGGACCCTGGGATCATGACCTGAGCCGAAGGCAGAGGCTTAACCCACTGAGCCACCCAGGCGCCCCAAGAATTTGCATTTCCTACAAGTTCCCAGGTGATGTCAGGGAACTCCTCTTTGAGAACCAGTGGCTTATCGCCTAAAGCCTCTCTATGCACAGCCTCTTACACAGAGCCCGGCATGTTGTGGGTGCCCAGATGCGGCTCTTGTTAGGGTGGGGGGTGACGGTATGTGTCATGGCTTCGTGGCAGAAGCTGTTCCATGATTCGTCACACAACTGCGTTGTCCTCTAGGAAATGACAGATTCCTGTGTAGAGTGACACTTCTTTCTGATAAGTTCCTTGTCATCCTTGTGACTGGTGGGCAAGTGGCTGGGTCATCTGTCCTGCCTGGCTTTAACTGTCTTTTCTTTTTCCTCTGTAGTACTCTGGGTTCCAGCAGTCTGCTGACAGGTGTTTTCTTTGTGGGCATCTGATCATGGACATGGTGAGTAGGGTCATCGGAACAAGATGATGGCATGGCGGGAGGGGGAGTCAGTTACAGAAATAGAAACTAACTGTTGAAAACTGTGTTTCCCAACTTGATTTGTGGTTGCGTCTGGTTTTATTAAGAGAAGACCTGTGTAAGGCTGCTGCTTGCTCTACAAGAAGCCATATTGTTGGCTTTTACTGGCGTTAGCATCCTTAATCATGTAGTTCACACAGTGTTGTGTTTCTGATGATGCTCATTTCTCTGGGGGTTGGATCACACTGGCATCCCTCTGATTTTCTGTGATTCCCCGTGGTGTCCCAGGTAACATGCCAAATCCCAAACTTCATCACCCTTGGAGTTCGGTACGAAAAGTCAGATAAACAGAGTTGTCGGTGCCCCGTGTGCTGCCTGACTCCATCTGTTCCTAAGATGATCTGTTCCTAAGATGCGGGCCCGTCGTTAGTTCTGAGACAGCCGAACAAGGAGCAAGTTTTATACATCCTATTCCTCACTCCGCCACTGGCCCTCTGAGCTTGTCTTGGGCGTCAGTATTTTTATCTCTTCAGTGGGGACAGTGTTTCTTTCCTGGCCTCCTTATAGGGTAAGGTTGTGAGGTTAACAAATGCTGAATACTTGGTCTGTCTCAGGGATCAAACTGTTTACCATTGGAGATCAGGCCTCAAGAGTTTCTTCAATAAACTGGTCAAGGAAAATTATTGTACAATGTTCTTTTAGTTGGAAAGAGGTAAAATCCCTCTTTAAGCTGACCCATTAATTCCATTCTGAAGAAGGGAATTGTTAATCATTGCTATTTTTTTTCTTTCAACTTTTTTATTGCGAAACAACTCCTAGAGTAAAGGATGTACATGTTAAGTGTACAAGTGAATGAAGTTTTGCATATGCACATATGTAACCCCACCCAGGTCAAAGTGTGGATATTTCCCATATGCCACACCCCAGAAACTTCCTTCTTGTCTTCCTCCCCGTCCAGAACCCCTCCTCCAAAGGTACCCTCTATTCTGAGCTCTATTGCCCCTATTGGTTTTGCTGGTCCTGGAACTGCATATAAATGGAATGATATAGCATAGAGTCCTTTTAGTCTGTCTTTTCTCACTTAGAAAATGTTGTTGTTGGGGCACCTGGGTGGCTCAGTGGGTTAAGCCTCTGCCTTCGGCTCAGGTCATGATCCTGGGGTCCTGGGATCGAGCCCCGCATTGGGCTCTCTGCTCAGCAGGGAGTCTGCTTCCCTTCCTCTCTCAATCTGCCTGCCTCTCTGCCTGCTTGTGATCTCTGTCTGTCAAATAAATAAATACAATCTTAAAAAAAAAAAAGAAAATGTTGTTGTTGTTTAAATATTTTGTGTATTTATTTGGCAGAGAAAGAGAGAGAGCAAACAAGCAGGGGGAGCAACAGAGGGAGAGGGAGAAGCAGGGAGCCTAACGTGGGGCTCGATCCGAGGACCCTGAGATCATGACCTGAGCCGCAGGCAGATGCTTAACTGACTGAGCCACCCAGGCACCCCTTTGTAGTTTTTTTTGGGGGGGTGGGGGCAGGGGCAGCCGGAGAGGGAGAGAGAATCTTAAGCAGGCTCCGTGCCCAATGTGGAACCCCGTGTGGGGATCGAACTCACGACCCTGAGGTCATGACCTGAGCCAAAGTCGAGAGTCAGATGCTTAACCAACTGAGCCACCCAGGCGCCCCTAGCAAGCGTTCTTGAAGTTCATCCATGTTGTGGCCTGTGTCCGTAGTTCGTTTATTTTCATTGCTGGGTAGACTTCCGCTGGACAGCGAGAGCAGTTTCTGTATTTGCTGGTCTGCTGCTGGGGATTTGGGCGGTTGCCAGTTTGAGGCTATCTAGGAATAAAGCTGCTGTGAGTGTCATTGCTGGACATCAACACTCATTTCTGCTGGTTCCTTGCTAACGTGTGTGAAACAGCCCCGAATCGGAGCCCGCCCTGTTCATGAGGAGAACCCCCTGTTGTCCAGTCCCGGATACACCCCGGTGGAGTCCTCCCTGGCAACCAAGGCCTCCCTCCATCCCCCCCGGGCAAGGCAGGCAGGAGCCACACTCCCCACCCCTACCTTCCGCAGACGCCAGCCAGACTCCGCAGGCATCCGATACTTTGGCGGAATTGGTTCTCAATTTAAGAGTCCTTCTGACAAAACCCACGACATACGAGTCCACAGAGTCCAAATGTCCGAACACGATTATACGCTATTTTTATTTCCAGGTATCCTAAGCCTTCTTTGGGCCTCATGGTAGTTCAGTTACCTCCCGCTTCATGGTACATCACCGCCCAAGACGTAGTCATTTAAAACAGCAGTGACTTCTTTATGGTGATTTGTGGAACTCTGTCGGTCACGAGTCAGTGGGATGATTCTTCTGTTCCGCGTGACACTGTCTGGGGTCTCTTAAGCAGCGGTTTTCGGCTGGTGTCCCAGTTGAGTGCCCACAATGGCCTCCCCCCTCCAGGCCTTTCTCCCTGTGACCAGTGATCCCATTCAGTTGTCTACCTTGAACTTCCTACAGCAAAAGAGGGAGGCAGGCTGTCAGACTCCTTAAGTCCTTGACTCGAGAATCTCCCCACATCATTTCGTCCTCATTCTGTCGATCACAGAAGATCACAAGGCCGCTCTCAGTACCCAGCAGGGCGGTGAGGGGATGACTGTCCTCCACTTCTTGAAGTGAGGACCAGCCTCGCATGCGGGAAGGGAAGGAATGAAGCTTTAGAGACCATCTCTAGCCCACGAGGATAATGCTGAGTTGAACCTGGGTCCTTGTGGGTCTCCTCTAGGACTGGAAAACTTTGAGCAAATGTCTGTCTAGTAGTGACACCCTTAAGAACCCTTAACTGCTGCTAAGAATTTTTAGAATGCAGGAAAAGATTTCCCGCAGGCACCGTTCTTGGTTCTCCAAGAAAGGCAAGCAGTTGTCCAGTTCTTTGTACAAATTAGCTGTGTCCCCCCGCCTCCCTGGTTAGTACAGGGGAATGATCTGAGCGCGCAGGTTGAAACAGGGCATTTTCCCCACATGAAAAAGAGCTGGCGAGCTGGCATGTGGCAAAATGGCCTCGGTGTCCTGCCATGCCATAGGCACACTGTGGGTGAAGTTCATTTCAGGGTCTCTTCTGCCAACATGGCGTTTGCTGGGGAGCAAAATGCATTCCGAGGTCCACATTGCCACGTGGACTTTGGAAGCCCAGCAGGTTGTTTGCCCCATTTTGGCAGCTGACTGCAGAGCGAGAGGGGCCTCACAGGTTAGTGACGCACCTGAGGGAGTGGGGAAGCTGGAGAGCTGAGGTCTCAGAGGAAGCTGGGAGAGCACATGAAGCCGCCAGCTTGCCTCGGTGGCTGCCGTGTGTGAGGTGTGGCATTGGCCTTGGGGGGAAGCAGGCCTCGAGGGGAAGCAGGCCTCGGGCGCTGGCAGGCCCCCACCTTTCCTGCAGGTGTCCCATGCACTGGCACAAACTCAGACTGGTGCTTCTGCAATTTTAGCATGCCCTGGAATCATTTTTTGAAGACACCAACCACTGGCCTTGACCCTAGCGCTTCCGATTCTGGAGATCCGGGATGGGGCCTGAGAATGCACATTTTTAAACAAGCTCCCAGGTGATGCTGATCCTGCAGGTCTGGGGACCACACTTTGAGAGGCACTGATTTAATAGGAAACCAGTGTGACGTCATCTAGCAATCGGGTCGGAGGTAGGCAGTTCCATTCTGCAGGGAGGTATCTGGTCACTCGCTGACGTCACCAAAGATGTTTCTCGAGTATCTTCTCTCCCCTACCCTGCGTGTCTTGGGTTCTGTCCTGGTTCCAGGACAGCTTCTTACCTCTCCAGGCATCACAACCTGACACTAAGAGGAAGAAGGTTTGTGGGACTTCTCCACTTTGTGTGTAAAAACAACAGCAACAGGGTGCCTGCGTGACTCAGCTGGTCAAATGTCTGACCCCTGATTTCTGGTCAGGTCGTGATCTTGGGGTCCTGGGATCGAGCCCCACATCGGACAGGGGCTCAGGGAGTCCACCTGGGGATGTTCTTGCTCTGCCCCTCCCCCTGTGCGTGTGCATGGGGTCGCTTTCTCTCAAATAAATAAATCTTAAAAAAAAAAAAAACAAAAAAACGATAACCGCAACAAAGAAGCTTTGCTAATGCTTGGATTTGAAATAATCATTGTTTGAATCACAGTGTCTGGATTATCAAGCTGAGCTGCTGCGGAGAGAAAGCTGCTTAGGAGGAGGCACCTGGGAGGCAGAACTTAAGAGGTTTTCTGAGCTCTGCCATTTCCATGTGGAATTAACTTTAATCGTTCCGTGGACCAGACGCTTCCTAAAGCTGGGACGGAGCCTGGTGCCGCCCTGCTTGCTTCACACCATTTCCTGCAAGGAACTGCCAGAGAGCCTTCCAGATTCTCTACGGGAGGCTGATATCCAGAGGAAGGTCCCGTTTGGCTCCCTCCTGTTGACACATTTACCTAGATTTGCCGTTCCCACCGCGTCCTCTCTTGACCTCGGTCCAAGTGAAACGGGGATGAGCGTGTGCCACGTGGTGTGGCCACACAGGGGGTCTCTTGGCCTGGCGTGTTCCTCGCCTTCACGCCGTCCAACCCGTCCCCGTAACCGCCCCTGAGCCCCGGCCTCTTCCTTTCTGCCCCCAGATCCTGCAGGCCCTCGGGAAGTCCTACCACCCTGGCTGCTTCCGCTGCGTCATCTGTAATGAGTGTTTGGACGGGGTGCCCTTCACCGTGGACTCCGAGAACAAGATCTACTGCGTCCGAGATTACCACAAGTAAGGAGGGTGGGGCGTGGGCCGCGTTGATCGTGCTGAGTGAAGGGGGGACACCCGCTGGGGTTCACCCGCAGGCTCTGCTTGAACCCTGAGTCCACAGTCCGGCAAAGGGTGTAGCGGGGCCCTCGGGAGGTCAGGGGACGCCCGGGCAGGCAGGAACTGGTAACAGAATCATGTTTCCTGAAAATTCAGACTCTGGATCCCTATCATCAGATTCCCAGCTAGGCCTCGGAGGCCTCTGCCAAGGCTGGCGGCTCCGGCTTGACCCAAGTTCCTAAGGCAGACACAGGGCTGGCGGCCGCCACCCTCCATCTGCCTGGGCCTGTGCTGGGTGAAAGAGGGGAGCGAACAGGTTAGTCTCCATCCCTAGTAGAGTGAGAGGGTCCAGCCAGGCTTGTTACCACTGGGCGATAATCTCAAAGTGCTACTAAAACACCTCCCAGAGAATGAGCCAGACTGTTTTTTTTTTTTTTTAAATAAAGATTTTATTTATTTGAGAGAGAGAGAGAGAGAAAGAGAGAGAACATGCGCATAAAGCAGGGGGAGGGGCAGAGGGAGAAGCCGACTCCCCGCTGAGCAGAGAGCCCGATGCAGGCCTTGATCCCAGGACCCCGGGACCATGACCTGAGCCTCAGGCAGATGTTCGCCGACTGAGCCACCCCAGTGCCCCAAGCCGCGCTGTCTTAATGTGAGGGCTGGGTTGGGGGTTTAGTTGAGAAATGGGCAGGAGGCCAGCTGTGAGGAAGGCTCAGTGTGGGCTCCAGGGCTGGCCTCCCAGGAACAGCACCATACTCATTTTACTGCCTCTTCACTTCTCCCGGCAGAGTGCTGGCCCCCAAGTGTGCAGCCTGCGGGCTTCCCATCCTTCCACCGGAGGTAAGATGCTTTTTCAGACCTGTTCCTGGAGTCTTCCATGGCATGAATATCTCCCTGGGGTCTTCTATGAGATCTGTGTCCTGTCCTTGTGCCTTTAAAAAAATCGTTCTAAAATCTCACCTCCGACGTTAATAGTGTCCTCACCAAGGGGCCCCTCTCTTCTTGGCTGGCTTCCCCAGCCCAGAGCCCTTCGTGTGCCTATTCAGCCCTATAATCAGGTCATACTCCCTGACTGGATAGTAACTTCCAGATGAGAAGATGAGCAGAAAGTTTGCCTTTCATTCATTTTTTTTAAAAAATCACTCTCCACGGAAGAGGTTTTTTTTCAGTGTTGACTCTGACATTCTAGAAGGTAGGACTGCTGTCCATCTTACTTCCCTTCTCATCAGTTAAAGGTGTCCTCCTTCCAACCGCTGTGGGACTTCACGGTGGATTTAAGCTTTTCCAAGGTCACCCACTTGCTACCTCAGAAACCCCCCGCATCCGTGACATGAGGAGCCCAATGGGTCCCCCAACTGGCCTCTTGTTCTTCCTTTCATTCCGTCCAGGGCTCAGATGAGACCATCCGCGTCGTGTCCATGGACAGAGACTACCATGTGGAGTGCTACCACTGTGAGGTAGGCCCCTCCCTTGCCCAGACACCCGAAAGTACGAGAGGAGCGCATCCCTGGGGTGACTGGGCCCTGAGATGGTCAGCAAGGCATGGTCAAGGGCTGCCCTCTAGGTCAAGGGGTGAAGCCTGCCTTGTAGGGGAGGTTGGAGGACACGCAGATGTCTGGGGCATAAAGGTGGTCACCATTTCCTCCACACTGGTTAACTGCCTCCCTGAGGCTGTGGGGTGGGAGGCTCGTGGGGAGCACGGGTTTCCCATGCCACGGTGTCAGGCAGCTGTGTGATCTGGGGAACAGACGCCATCCCCTCCAGCCTGTAGGCTGTTCTATCTGCCAAGAGCCCTCTTTTGAGCCCGGAAATCATGAAGAAATCCATCCCTCCTTGGAAACAGGCATGGGTGGGGTGAAGGTGGAGGGGGCCCATGCGCCCCTCTTTACCTGGTGTCATGCCCAGGCTGAAGGAGTCCTGGGTGCCCCGTGGCCGTCAGGCAGGACTGGGGTCACCCCTCCCCAGCCCTTGTGAAGGGTGCGTACACTTTAAGTGCCCGTGGGGTTTCAGCCAGAATTAAGTGGATTCTCCCACGGAAGGAGAGTAGATTTATTTTGTGACACTGTGGGTGGGGTGAATGGGAGAGGGGTTGGGGTGAGGGTGGGATGCTTGAGCTCACTGCCAGCTGTGAAGAGTTAGGTGGTACCCTAGGTGCTGGAGAGAAAGGGGATGGGGCCATTTGCCCACAACAGCCCTCTCTCTGCATTTGGGGCAGTGCTGTCCCATAGAAACCCAAGAGCCATGGGTTCAAATCACAGGTGTCCTTTTGTTTTCTAGTAGTCACATTAATAAAAAAGTAAAAAGAAATAGGATTCATTTTTACAGTATTTTATCCAACCCATATATCCAGTGTTCTTTCCCTTTCTTTTTTTCTTCCTTCCTTCCTTCCTTCCTTCCTTCCTTCCTTCCTTCCTTCCTCTATCTCTCTTTTAAGATTTTTATCTCATTTAACTTATTTGAGAGAGAGACAGAGCGTGAGCAGGGGAGAGGGGTGGGGGGGGGGAGAAGCAGTCTCTCCGTTGAGCAGGGAGCCCTACATGGGGCTCCATCCCAGGACCCTGAGATCATGTCCTGAGCTGAAGGCAGCTGCTTAACCGACTGAGCCACCCAGGCGCCCCTCCAGTGTTATTTCAATATGTAACCAGTATGAGGGACTTCCCATGAGCGGTCTTACATTCATTTTTTTGCCGTAAGTCCTGGAAGGACAGAGTATGTATCCACCGACATCCCACTTCCGTTCCAACCAGCCCCAGTTCAAGTGCACGTTGACGGCATGTCACACTTTCACTCAGCCCAACTGCTGGGTTCCCCGCTGGCGTGCGCTGCCCACACAGCCCGCTCTGCTGGTCCCGGGGACGTCGGCCTTTGGGTCAGTCTTGCCATCCTTTCTGTGCTGTTCTGCCACCGCTGGACCTTTTTGCCTCCCCCCAGGACTGCGGTCTGGAGCTCAATGACGAAGATGGTCACCGCTGCTACCCGCTGGAGGACCACCTGTTCTGTCACTCCTGCCATGTCAAGAGGCTGGAGCAGAGCCCCGCACCTGCAGCTTTTCACCAGCCGCGCTTCTAGCCGGAGCCTCTCTCGGACCTGCCATGGGAGAGGAGAAGCGCAGCGGAGCACGACATCTGCCTGTGACTTCCAGCGGCCCCCGGGATGGGGTGGGGGGAGGGGGCTCAGGCAGGTAAGTTTCTGCATAGACGCCACCGCCGGTGCCTTTCCACGAACCAGGGAGCGGAACCCTGCCTGTCTGGCGTGTGTATTTTCCAAGTGCCTTTCGCCACCGCCGCGCCCTCATCACATTACTCAGGAAGACACTCCAGCCACGTGTGGCATGTGACAGGGGATCGCATCCGTGCCACCAGAGGCACCTACCCTCCAGCCCCTCTCGGAAGGAAAGGGTCACCCTGAGCGTGTTTCACAATATCCTCTGAAGAGAGACCTCAGTGGCCAATACGTTTAGCCTTTTCCTGTCCCTAGGGAAAACACCCACACCCGGACACTACCCCACCACGTACACGTATACAACGTGATTTAAGACTGTGCCCAGACACGTGTGGATGCACGCGCGTGCATACACACACACACACACACACACACACACACACACACAGCATTATTTAAGACTTCCTTCCACCCCAGAGACTCAGTTCTCCTGTCGGCTGGCTGCACACTTAATTGCATTATGGCAAGAGGGAAGCTCTCACGCATGCCCTGTATCTTGGGGAGGATTTGGTGGCTAAACCAGAGCCGAGGTTTGAAATGAACGAGCCAGGCAGGGTTTCCTCCTGGTACACTGACCCTGTTTGGTGCTGCCCTGCAGATCTTAAGTCCCTTAAAGGCAGCTGGGAGCCCAATGGAGATTTGCCCTGTTCTAGCCAAGTGTGCTTTGGGACAAGGACTTGGTGCAGGCACCAGGCCTCTTTTGCCCAGCTGCTGGCCCTGTTTCTTTCTGGAGCTCTTGAGAGTCCGTGACTCCGGAGTCGCTTCCACAAAGGCAGGTCTCAGTATCCCCTCAACGTGGGGACATGGGGTTTGGGCCGTCCTGCCCCCCTGCTGAGAGCTAGGCCCCCCCCCCCCCCGGCCCTTCCCCACGGGGAGAGTTAGTGTGTGGGTGAGCTCTCTGAGCAGCCCAGGAAGGGGGTGCTTCAGGATAGATGAGTGTGTTCACCTCGCACATCTCTCCCTCACCCAGTTCTGGGCACAGGCGTGACGTGGGACGAGACCCGTATAAGGTACCCTGCTCTTGTCTGGTGTTTCTCCTTGTTTTTAATCGTCTCTCCACCCCACCCCACTCTCAGTCTTCCACACACACAAAATACCTCACAGATAAGAGCTTCACCAAACCGCAGCTAAGGAGGCACTTGGCCATGGCACTGACCTCACACGCCTCCGCTGGGGCTTGCTGAGTCTCTGCGTCCACGTAGGCCAGACCCCGGCTGCTCAGGGCACGGGCATCTCAACTAAAGGTTGGCTGGCAGTGGGTCAGCTCGACTGTGGGGGTTACTGCCCGGATGCAGTTCATCGGGTTGGTGCCCTAGGGAGTGGGAGGGCCATGCAAGAGTTCAAGGCCACCTGTGCACTCAGGAAGCACAGTTGGCCCTGCGTGTCACACACTCCTGAGCCCAGATGTCCCTATTCCCAGTATTTCAGTGAAAAGGTGGTGTAAAAAAATAAAAAAAGCTGGCTGGCATTTGCCCTCTCAGCCCTTGGGGAGGGCCTGCTGGAACGCAGGGGCCAACTCAGTGCTGCGGCGGCCTGGGACTACCGGCCGGCGTCTGCCCTTCTCCACCTCACCTCACCCCCAGGGCAGTGGGGGCCACAGAGGGCGGGCGGTGGAGCCCAAGGCACGTGGGACTCGCAGGCTTGTCAGCGCGCCGGGATCCCAGCTTGAGGCTGCATTTTCATTCGTTTGGTAGCAGCTGCTCTAAGACGCACAGAATTGGCCCCATGCGTTGTCTCCTGCTATTCTTAAATTCAATCCGTTAGATGGCCCAATGTCACTTCAGCCCAGGCCGTGGGCTTTCGTTGATTCCGTGGCACAGGCCAAGCCTCCAGAAGCCCGTGGATGCATGGGCCTGGGGGAATGAACCCTGAGGCCGAACCCCTCTCTTCCCAGAGTTGCCAGCTCGGCTCTGGCAAGGCTGGGGGGCCGTCGTCACTTGGCTCTGCCAACCTAGGAACGTTTCTGGCCTTGCTGTCACACCTCGGCTTCACGTGCAAATCCAGCAAAAGTGCAGAAAATTGCCTGAGTGCAGCTGTCAGAAGCAGCGCTTTGTTTGCAAATTGGGTAACTAAATAGTTTTTAAAAATATCTGTGATTAATTTTTTAAATGATACCTTTTAAGTGGCCTTGGTGAAAGTGATTCAGAGATCAGCACACATGGTGTTTTCTACTGTTTGAGGAAAAAACAATAAGAGAATTTCCAGAAGCCCGAGAAATTAGAGTGGTGAGCTGTAGTAATCTCACACCTGTTCTCTTTCTCGGGCTGTGGGGCTAAAGCCACGAGGAGAAGTTCACCTGCGTGGTATCTTAGGCATTCTGGAAGCTGTTAGCCTAACAGAATTGTAATGGGGTTGTATTTATAGGCTCCTAGGAAGAATACACAAGAACCCCGTAGACCAGGATGAATTTGTTTATTTTAAAAGGTAAAGCAGATAGCCCTTCCTGAGTTCCCTAGATAGCTCTCGGACTTTAGATAAACAAGGAGAATTAAGGTCTGATGGCAGACGCCAAGGCCAGCCTCCAGCCTTCTCTTCCCACCTCAGTTGGCCCACAGTTCCCACCCTCCCCACCCCCGGTTTGGCCTGCCCTTCTCTCTCTCTGATGTTCTCCCCCCTGCCGCTGGGGAAAGAGTGACACGTTCACCTCCCACCGTGGAAGGGCATTACATCCTGTCGGGGTCATTGCCCAGACACGGCAACAGGACTTCCCACTTCTCCGTGATCGGTGCTCAAGTGAGAGCCTCTTTCGGCCAAGTCCAAAGGTGAGACCACCAACCACTTGTGCAGGACTTGACCCCACACCAGCCTTGTTGCGGGATGCTCTTGTTCCAACTCTGTCTGCCAGGAAACCCGAGTTCTTTGCAGTCTCCTACATGCCAGGAGTCAGTTCTCGTTTCCGGTTATTTGAAGTCAGTCTTAAAAGGAATAGAATACAATAAGTAAAATATATTAGCTATCGTTCTGAGTCGGAACTGGATAGATGTGGGAAATTTCCGTACAGTGTGTGAAAAGTTCACCATGCAGGGAAATTTGTTTTCCTCTGTATCTCTTCTTTTCCTATACAAATTATTCAAAATCATACTGTTCCTGTAAAATTCTTCCAAATATTGTTACTACAAAATTACTCAGAATTGTACTGTTACTATAAAATTATTCAAAATATCATGCCAATAAACTGCATCAATTTGTAGACGATTAAAGTGCTTTCCAACATGATGATGCTTATTGGGTTTTCTTGCGTGTGTGTGTGGAAGTAAACAGACAGCATTTTTTGCTAACTGGATTTGGTCTTCTTTTAGAGCTCTGGATCCTTAAGGGAACACATGGGTGTCAAAACTATGAAAGGTCCCAGATTTTACCCTCCCTGCCAGCTAATAAGTTAGCATGCTGTGGTTTTGTGGATGGTGGACTCCTAGGTCAGAGACAAAGGACAGGTGAATGCAGCACCAGCCAGGAGAATTTCATCAGCATTTTATCAGCATTTGTGGGTTTTTGGCTTTTTTAAAAGATTTTATTTATTTATTAATTAATGAGAGAGAGCATGAGAAGAGAGGTCAGCAGGAAAAGCAGACTCCCTGCTCAGCAGGGAGCCTGATGTGGGACTCGATCCTGGGATTCCAGGATCATGGCCTGAGTCGAAGGCAGTCGCTTAACCAACTGAGCCACATAGGCGCCCCTTTTTTTTTTTTTTTTTAAGATTTTATAGCATTTGTGGTTTTAATCAGCATTTACACTGACTCCCTGACCTGTCTTCCCTCCAAGGCCCCAGGAAGAGGGCCAGGTGGTACCTGCCAAGGCAGCCACAAGAGGTCACCCCTACTTAGGGAACCTCCATCTTTTTTTTTAATTTTTAAGATTTTATTTATTTGAGAGAGAGAGAGTGAAAGAGAGATGAGAGGGAAGAAGGTCAGAGGGAGAAGCAGACTCCCCGCAGAGCTGGGAGCCTGGTGCCGGACTACATCCTGGGAGTCTGGGATCACGACCTGAGCCAGAGGCAGTGGCTTAACCAACTGAGCCACCCAGGTACCCGGGAACCTCCGTCTTACAATGACAGGTAAGCCTGCCTGAGTGTTGCTCCAGAGAGAGGCTCTTTGACTGTTCACCACGCCAGCATGCTAGACCGTCTGGAAGTAAGGCGGTCCAGCTCATGGGATGTGCAGGAACGTGAGCGACCCTTGGAGAATCATCTTAAGAATCGGCAGTTCCTGCCCCTGGGTTCTTAACATTGAGACACGAGGTTGTACGGCAGGGGTAGTCGTTCTTTCTCCTTTCGTGTATGTAGTTTTTTTTCTAATGAGTTTCTGATCAGAGTCCCAGAGATGAGGGCTTGCAGAGGGAGGGGCTGAGTGTGTGCTTGGAGTCCCTGGGGTGGCAGAGGGGGTCCAGGGACTCCCTCACCTTCCATCGCTCAGTCCGTGGGCTGCTTTGGGCTTTAGGTTAGTTCTCATGGCTGCCAGGGATGCAGGAAAGTTGAGCACAAGGATACTGACAGGGTAGGGGTGGGTGTCTTACTGGAAAATAAAACCTCTTTATATGGTAAAAGAGCACATGTACTGATTTCATAAATCAGTTTTCCTGTGACCCTGATTCCATAAGGGATGAAACTATATAGTCAGGGAGAAAGGTGGCCTGGGCCAAGGTGTGCTGGTGGCCCAGTTTTGGGGTGGGCGGTGGGGACGAGGCTCTGATTTGTGGTGCTTGCTGGTTTCTGTAATATAAATATTCCCCTCATGGCCAATTTCAGGCGATCCACATGACATCCCTGAACCTGGTCCTGGGTCGAGATGGCACAGTCAGGAACAGACACCAACCAGCCAGCTCAGGCCTTTGGGCCATTTGGGTCTGAAACAGTGAGGAAATCTGATTTGATCTTAAGTTCTGTGATTAAAGCGGTAACAACAGGCGCAGCTGACATTCATTGGGGGGTCAGCATGTACTAGGCGCTATTCTAAGGACCATATTCTTTATAATCCTTTAGCTTATGGACATGGCAACTGAGTCACAGAAGGATAAAGTTACTCTCTGAGCATCGAGGACCCGGTAAACCAAGCCGAAATCCTATCCCAGGCTGTCTTGTTAGAGTCATTTAGCCTGAAACACTCATGGGCGGGTTGGTGGGGAGGATCCTGTCGCCTGTCACTGTTCTCTGCTGGTGTCTGTATTGGTTTCTTTTTATTTTATTTTATTTATTTATGCGAGAGAGAGAACACAAGCCGGGGGCAGGAAAAGGGAGAAGCAGACTCCCCACAGAGCAGAGAGCCTGATGCAGAGCTCCATCCCAGGACCCCGGGATCATGACCTGAGCGGAAGGCAGATGCTTAACCAACTGAGCCACCCAGGCACCCCTTGGTTTCTCATTGCTTCTGGGACAAATAACCAAATTTAGTGGCTTAAAATTGCACACGTCCTGTGATTCTGGAGAAATGGGTTTTCTAAAGCTTGAATCAAGGTGTCGGTAGAACCAAAGTTCTTTCTGCAGGCTCTAGGGGTGAATATGTCCCTTGCCGTTTTTTAGCTTCTAGAGGCCACCCACACTCCTTGGCTTACGGCTTTGTCACTGAAGTCTGTTGTCACACCTCTCTCTCTCCCCCTCCTGCTTCTTTCTAGTGAGGACACTGGGCACGCCCATGTGGTCTGGGATAATCCCTGGCTCATCTCAGGGCCCCTTAACTAATCACATCTGCGAAATCTCTTTTACTTTGTGGGATAAGCTATTCATGGGTTCTGGGGATTAGGCTGTAGACTTCTTGGTGGGGGAGTACTACTCAGGCTTTCTACAGAGTCCAACAAACTTTTAAGGTGGAATGAAAGAATGTCCTGGGATTATTAAATGCATTTTCTTCAAGCATTGCCAGAAGTGGGGTTCACATTTTCCCTGGATTGACAACAGAAATGCTTCATATATAAAAGTGATTTGAACCTTGGATTCTGGGTGTAAAAACAAATCATAATAGGCCATACTCTGCAGTGGGGTGTTGGGGAAGGGGAGAGGAGGGAAATAAGCCAGCGGTCTGGTCCAGGAGAAGGTTCCAGGTATGTGACAGCTGCAGATGTTAACACTTTTAGGAGAAGCCCTGGTTACCTAAGGCACTCCCATCACTTGGGTTATATACACGTCCCTCCAACTGACCCAAGCCCACAAGGGCAGGTGGCTGTGGACCCTGAGTTGCCCATGGGACCTGGCCCACAGCAGGTGATAGAGGGGAAGTGAGGAAATGCACCCAGTTTGGAGACTCGGCAGTAAGGCGGAGCCCCCCAACAGACATAACGGATCAAAAGTATGTAAGAAGGGGCGCCTGGGTGACTCAGTGGGTTAAGCCTCTGCCTTCAGCTCAGGACATGATCTTAGGGTTCTGGAATCAAGACCCGCATCAGACTCTCTGCTCAGCAGGGAGCCTGCTTCCCTCTCTTTCTCTGCCTGCTGCTCCCCCTGCTTGTGATGTCTCTCTCTTTGCCAAATAAGTAAATAAAATCTTAAAAAAAAAAAGTATGTAAGAGCTACATTTGGGAGCCGCACTCCCCTATAGAAGCATGGACATAAAATCGGGCAACAGAGATCATTTATACGGTGCCAAAAACCTCATCCACAGCTAGGATTGCTTCTATGGGAATTTTATAAAAAATTATATTTGTATTTACACAGGTAACATAATTTCCTGATAGGAAAAACTTGGCTAAAGGTGTCCACTCATATTACTTACCCTTGCTTGATTTCTTATCCTGAACATTGTTCTCCTTAGATTGGATTTGGGCTTGCTAGGCACTGAAAAGCCCCGGAAGAATGTCTGTTTCTGCCTGGATTAGTTTCCATTTTCCATTCTCACTGAGTGCTCATGAAGGCCTTGGCTTGTATTACACAACTGGCAAAGAAAGTTCAACCTTTGTGTCTCTTTGTTCTGCGGTGAATAGAACTTCTATATGGTGACATGATTAGAGTCCGTCAGGAGCTCTCTGCAGGGTGGTGGCTGTTCAGCTGAAAGCAGTCTTTTCTTAAAGCCTTAAGAGATAGGCTGCAATTTATATTCCCATCTTATTAAAGGAGAGGAAATGTCCAAGAGCCCATAGCTAGTGAGCTGAAGCATCATCAGGACTTAGAGAGACGAGATCTGATTGAAAGCTGAGGCACGTACGTGATTGTCATTCATGCCCAGATATGGAATGACCCTGAGTCCACTCACCTTGTCACCCTCTGGTGCACAGTAAGCTCAAGGCCAGGATGGCTTTGGGATCAAGAGCCCAGACTCAAGTCAGGCTCCACAACCTAATTGCTCAATAACCTTAAGCAAATTTAGCTCTGGCACATGTAAAAATGGGGATAACTGAACTTGCTTAATAGGATTGTTGTAGGAATGATTGAATTAGTCCAAGCAAAGAGTTTAGAGCTCGTACTTCATTGCTCAGTGAGAGTGATAGGCTTTAAGACTTAATTCATCTTTCCATTGGGAGGACAAAAAATAATTACAAATGGATTAAATGGGAAAAACAATGCAAACACACAATTTTTTTTTTAAAGACCATCTATGCCATAGAAGATACCATAAAGTGAAATACTGGTAAATCGGAATATATAGTAGTGAAAATTGTTAGGTTCAAAAATATTATAAGAAAAAGGTAAATGATAAACTGGAAGACTGCATTGTGTTTTGATAGCCAAAGAATTAGTGTCCTTTTTATATTAAAAAACTTAACAGGGGCGCCTGGGTGGTTCAGTGGGTTAAGCCTCTGCCTTTGTTTGGCTCTGGTCATGGTCTTGGGGTCCTAGGATCCAGCCCTGCATTGGCCTCTCTGCTCAGTGGGGAGCCTGCTTCTCCCTCTCTCTCTGCCTGCCTCTCTATCTACTTGTGATCTCTCTGTCAAAAAAAACCACAAAAAACAAACAACCCCCCCCCCACAAAACCCTAACAGATCTAAGAACAAGAATAATACACATACATCCAGAGAATAGATACGTTAAGTAATGTATGTAAAAAGAAGTTCCATTTTCTATTATGAAAATTGCAAAGAAATCATAATGCAATCTATAACACTCAGTTTTGGTTAGCAAGCAAGAAAACAGATGCTGTTAATGGAAATGTGTCCGTTTTATTTTTTTGGAGGGCAATTTGAAAATATGTTCCAAGTCTCAGAAATGTCCACCTGATCCTTCCAGATCTAGAAATTTATAAGCCACATCAGAAATAATCCAACACAGCATTATCTTTAAAAAGTGTTAAGCTGGGCGCCTGGGTGGCTCAGTGGGTTAAAGCCTCTGCCTTCGGCTCAGGTCATGATCTCAGGGTCCTGGAATCGAGGCCCATATCGGGCTCACCGCTCAGCGGGGAGCCTGCTTTCTCCTCTCTCTCTCTATGCCTGCCTCTCTGCCTACTTGTGATCTCTGTCAAATAAATAAATAAATAAAATCTTAAAGAAAAAAAAAAAAAAAGAATGTCATATTGGAAAAATGTCTTGGCCAGTCCGAGGGTTCGAGTCCGCTTTCCCCGGCAGAGGTTTCCTGCCTTCGATGTCTTCGAGCCAGACGTAATCTAATAAACCAGATAACCTAGGGGTGATCTCACCGTAAAAAACACGCGTGTTTGAGGGCATCCGGGGAAATTTGGAGTCAGGTGGCCTTTGCACGCGGAGCCCTCCGAGGCCAGGGTGGCGGGGCCTGCACGCAGTGCAGCGCTTGGTCTCCGCAGCCGGGGAGCCCATGCCGTCCGGGGAAACGGGCTGCGCCGCTTTTCCCGTCACTACGGGGCTCTCTGCCCCAGGGAAGAAAGCCAGCACCGCGGCCTGCAGAGCGCTTCGGTGTCCCCTGGTGGCCAGCCTCCGGCTACAGCGCGCCCCCGACTCCAAACGGCCGCCTGTTCGGGCTTGTCTTCCTATATGTACCCCATTTACAGGGACTCCTGCATCATCAAGAGGGAGCTCATCATCATTTACAAACCACCTCACACAACTCCCGGTGCCAGACAAAACCGAAAAGATGACATTTCGGGCAAAGTGGCGGTAAAACTCAGCTATCTAACCCTTACACTCTAGCCGGAGCCCCTTCCACGGGAACCCTGGACCGTTAAGCCAGAGGGGGGGGGGGGCGCTCCGAGCCAGCCAGGAGTCGAACCTAGAATCTTCTGATCCGTAGTCAGACGCGTTATCCATTGCGCCACTGGCCCTGTGCTAGAACGGGCCTCGCAGTGATGTAGATCAGCCCTGACGCAGCTTCGGCAGGTTTCCCACAGCAGTGCCGCCTTTCGGCCCCCCGCCCCCCCGCACCGCCGCTCCCGCCCACGGCTCCCACGGCTCCGCCTTTCTCAAGCAAACGCTCTCCGCCAATCCGCAGCGTGTACGTCACGACGCTTTTCGGCGCGCTCCAATCCGCACTCTGGACAGCTGCTTTCGCGCTCTCTAGTGCGCCTACTAAGTTTGTCCACGGTCGCCTCCCGTCCGCTGGAGGCCGGGCGGGGCGGGGAGAGGGGTGGGGCGACCCGGGCGCTGCGGCCGCGGAGCTGGGCGAACGGTACCGAGGTGGCGGAGGTGGTGGCTCGGGGCGGGGCGGGCGGAAAGAGGAAGAAGGAGCTAGTGGTGCACGATGGCGGCGACGACCTACGAGCGGCTGAAGCTGTGAGTCCCGCGAGCCGGAGTCCGATGAGCGAAGGGGGCCTGCGGGGCGGCAGGGCGGGGCGGCAGGTGCGGGACCCCGGCCTCCGGCAGGGCTCCTGAGTCCCGGAGCTGCGGGCCGGGTGTGGGAGCCCCTGGCAGTCCCCGCCCTCCTCTCCCGGCGCGGCCAGTCCGGGAGCTTGTAGGTCGCGGCCGTCCGAAGGCCCGGCGGAGTCGCCCCAGGCCGGGGAGCCCGGGAATGACAGCGTCGACGGCCTTTCTTCGCCCTGCTCGGCCTCAGCGCCCACCGCGGAAGAGCAAAGCTGCAGACCGGCCTCCAGCGAGCCGCGGTCTGCGTTGCGATGCGGCAACTCCGGGCGCGTTCCTCCCCACCCACTTTGTTTGTTAGAAAGGTGGCGGCTGAATTTATCTTTATTGCTTAGCAGAGGAAAGAGAAGTTTGTTATTTTGCTCCCCTCCACTCCGCCCTCTTGTGTAATGGACCCATGACAGCATGTTAGAGTCCACGCACAAATCGACGTACCTTATCTGGGCACCAAAGCCTGTCTGACCAGCTTTGAAGGTGCAGATAAAAAGAAGCGTCAATACTCTTGAGCTCCTGAAGGATTTGCTTGGTTTTAAATATTATACAACTTAAGCACAAAGCGGGTTAAGTTCCTGTTGACGGCCAGAGGCCATTCTCGAGAATTTTGGCACTGCAGATGGACTTCTCGGTAAAGCTAAGTTCTTGAGACTTTGAGAAATAGGCTCTGGTTGTTAGAGACGGAAATTGAGTAATTGTAGGTTCTTTTCATTTGTCCTGAATAAAAACATGCATTCATTTGAGCATTACTATTAGCCCCTTGGTTTTCTTGCCTCTGAATAACTTTGTACTACTTTGGGCTTAATACTTTACCTCTAGACTGAAAAGCCAGTTGCCCTAGTCTGAGAATGTACTTGGCCTCAGAAGCAAATGTAATTTTGGGGAAGCTTACCTATCCCTAAGTGAGCTAAAATACCTTGGGACTTAGGCAGAGGGATCGTATTTCCTTTGTAGGGATATGAGGACATCAAAATGTGGTTTGGGCACTTCCTGTGCTCTCTGGAACCTCAAACTCACTTAACTTTCTGGAAGGTTCAATTTAAAGTTTGGGTGCAAAATTGGGAGTGAGGTCATCTACTTGACATGAGTTGTTTTGCAGAAAACATTATTTTTTTTTCAGTCCCCTCCTTTGCCACTTTTGTGTAGAGTAATTCTCTTTGAAAGCCCCAGTTGCACATTTCATTCACATTTTCCTTTGCCGGGTTTCCTTCTTCTCTCCCAGTTTCCCTCTGCAAGGTGATCACCTTGGTGGTGAATGGATCCAGCAAAATTCCTTTGACTAGGGTACTGGCTGGGCCGGTGTCACGTGTGCTCTGCTGGCTAATTAGGTTATCGTCGACTATCTGATAGTCGCTGAAGGGCTTGGTGCGATCCTACACCGAGTCTCAAATGTATTTAAGCAGTATGGAGCCTGGGCTCGATGCTGCTCTGTATTGGGTTATGGAATGCAGTTGAATTTTCCTTGAATGTGGCAAAGGTGGAGAACCTGAGAATTCTCATGATTGCTTATACGCTACTAGGGAGTCACTAAATTCATCAGTCTAAACCTTAAAAAAAAAAAAGGTTCTATATCCACAAAAGAGAATGGCCCTTAAGTGGGGCGGTTGATGCTTTTGTATTGATTTTTGTAGAAGTGGAGACTATGAATCTAAGTTGAGAAAGTAAATCTGGGGTTATGTGAAAGTTGGTCTCTCGTTTGTCAGTCCTTAACTTTATTCCCCCAGGAGAAGTTTTGCATGCCAGTCTATATGTGAAGAGCCGGCTTTTCTGTAATTTTGTTTTTCTTACCAAGAAGTTTGTGAGTTGGAATCTCTCTTTTTGGGCCTTACTGCTCTGAGGCATGCTGTCCAAGGTTCTGTCTTATATGTGGCCTCTGACCTAAGGGGTGTTCTTTATTTTTTAGATGCATTTGGACATGGCAGTAGTTTCTGACCCATGTAAAAATTAGTAGGACATAATAACCATTTTATTTATTTATTTTTAATGGTTTTAATTTATTTGACAGAGATAGAGCACACACAAGTAGGCAGAGTGGCAGGCAGAGGGATAGGGATAAGCAGGCTCCCCGCTGAGGCTGCTCGATTCCAGGACCCTGGGATCCTGACCTGAGCTGAAGGCAAACACTTAACTGACTGAGCCACCCAGGCTCCCTAATAATAGCCATTTTTTTTTTTAAAGATTGTATTTATTTATTTGGTAGAGGGAGACAGCAAGAGAGGGAACGCACAAGCATGGGGAGTAAGAGAGGGAGAAGCAGGCCTCCCACTGAGCAGGGAGCCCCATGTGGAGCTTGATCCCAGCACCCTGGGCTCATGACCTGAGCCGAACACAGATGCCTACCGACTGAGCCACCAGGCGCCCCAGTAATAGCCATTTTTAAAAACATGCCTGGAGATGTTTTAAGAGAGAGCCATCCAAGAGGCAGTTTGACCATTTATTACAAAACTGCTGCTGCTACTGAGGGTCACAATAGTGAGATGCCCGGGATGTTAAATGATAATCTGTTCTGCATTATGCCACCCATTTGCAGTCCATCTCTGTCCCGCTGTGGAGTTCACCTTGCTCCTTACTGCCCTGATTTTATCAGCTGCTCTCCTGCTTATAGGCTCCAGTTCCATCTTGCCCATAGGATTGAGCCCACATTTCTTTGTCATCTGGATTCCAGCCTCTTCCTAAGCTAACCCTTAACCATATTTCTTCTAACTGCTCAGTGCATTCTTTCCCCTTTCCACCGACCTGGCCACGCTCTCTTAGCCTTAAGCTTGCGCTTACTTTATTTTGATCCTTCTTCCAAAATGCCGTCTTCTCTCCTGACTTTACATGCTGATCACAATCGTGGACCCGTGGTAGAGCTGAGAGATGCAGGCATTTTTGGTCAGAGGCGACTTTGATTCAGATCCTGACTTTGTTATTTGCTTTGTGTCATGGCCATGTTACTTATCTCTGAATCCGTTTTTCATCTGTGAAATGAGAACGGTCCTACTTCACAGGATTATTAGGACGATTGAAAGAGAGTGTGGAGGAGATACCCAGTGTCATTGACAGAGACTCACTTTCTCTGAGAAGCCTTGTCCCCACATCTTTCCCTTCCCTGAGCTCCCAGAAGAGTTTACCGTCACAGGGACTGGACACCACACGTCCATCTGGCTTGCACATTTCTGTCTCTTAGGATTGATGTGCAGTGTAGAAAACTGGAAGTAGAATGATCAATTCATAGCACTGTTTGCCTTTTTAAAAGACATTAATTAGTTCATTAATTAACTTGCGAACCAGAGAGAGAGATAGTGCACGTCCATGCATGGGCTTGCAGGGGAGGGTGGAGGAGCAAAGAGCAGAGGGAAAGAGAAATGAGCAGACTCTGTGCTGAGTGTGGGGCCCGATGTGGGGCTCACCCTCCCTACCGTGAGATCAGCCTCCTGACCCTGAGCCGAAACCAGGAGTCAGACACTTCCTTGACTTCACCACCTGGGCACCCCCCCCTTTTTAAGTGGGCTCCATGTGGAGCCCCATGTGGCACTTGAACTCACTACTTTGAGATCAAGACCTGAGCTGAGATTGAGAGTTGGATGCTCAACCGACTGAGCCACCCAGGCGCTCCTCCATAGCTCTGTTTAAACTATTCACTTTGCCCCCGAGAAATGATGAAAAATCGTTACAGTGTAGTGCTTATGCTTTGTTTCTGCGGCTAGGTTGCACGTGTGTAGAACATATTCCAACCATCCTAACATTGATTTCTTCTCTGCTCCTCAGTACCTCACATAAGGCCTTGTGCAGAGAGATCCTCGGTGAATCACCTAAGTAAATGCACTTTCCAGTGTAGAGGTACCACCAGCATCTCAAAATGACACACTCCGGGGTACCTTGGAATGTATTCTTTTGAAGTAGCAGCTGCTTAAGTCATTCTATGTAGATGATTGTCTTCCAGTGCCTTTGTGAAGTCATGCGTTGACATATATCCTCCATAATTGTTGAAGACAGAAATAATTGCCCTTGGCCCCACAGGCAGGTCACACAGCCCAGCCATAGCAGAACTGGCCTTGGAACACAGCAGGGCCAGAGTCCGGAGATCTTTCCATTACACTGCGTTATTCACACTGCTTTTTTTTCTTATCAGATTGCTTTCACCTGGGTCCTTGGATGTGCCTGGTATAGAAGCGGGTCACTTATATTTGAAAATAGTCGACACGTCCATATGGATTTTTAATACGGAAAACAGAATATTGATATGCTCAGAACTTAAAATTCTTCTGAAACATCCAGGCAGTTTGGAGCGCCTGGGTGGCTCAGTGGGTTAAGTCTCTGCCTTTGGCTCAGGTCATGATCTCAGGTCCTGTGATCGAGCCCCACATCGGGCTCTCTGCTCTGTGGGGAGCCTGCTTTCCCCTCTCTCTGCCTACCTCTCTGCCTACTTGTGATCTCTCTGTCAAATAAATAAATAAAATCTTAAAAAAAAATTCAGACAGTTCTAAATAATCTATTTTGTGACTCCTTTTTTCTTTTTAAGTTACTTGGATAAAGCATAGAGAATGTCAGACAGTGATAAATTTGAAATTATGACCCAGTTACACCAGAAATCCATTACTGGAAACATTTAAAGGACCCTTGCCTTTAAAAAGTCAGCTGAAATAGGTGTTAAGACAGGAAGTCCTTTAGAAAGTGAATTAGGCTGCAGCTTGCCTCTGAAGCATTGTTCCCTGTTAGGAAGTCACCTTTCTTTGTAAGAGATGGCGAGAGCTGTGAGGTCAGCGGGACGGCCATGATGCGGCCCTGACCAGATGGAAACTGAGTCACACAGTGATGAAGACATACGTGGTCTGTCCAGTACAAGCAACAGAAAGCATATTCACTCATCTCTTTGCAAGGAAGGATGGAGGAAAGGGAAGGTTATAAATGTGGGCATAGATAACGCACAGTTGATGTCC